TCTCATACAAATTATCCGTACTTACATATTCTCTAATATAATAACACGGTAAAAAGAAATCTAGAAACCGATATCTTTTTGTACATGAAATGTCGCGCTCTACGACGAACAGCCATACTATCATAAATAATAATATTCTTTTTCCAAAAATTATTCTCTAAAACTATTTCTCATTATAACTAATTTAAAATTAAAAAAGATTTATTCAATACAACATAAAATTCCTTTCTGCATGAAAAGTAATATTCTTCTATTTTATAAATTTCTTTAATTAATTTCTTTTCGATAAATTTCCATAAATTCTAATTTAGAACATAACTGGTCATTTCACGTTCAGGATTCTTAAAAATGCAATTAACAACATTATTAGTCTAATTTTCACGGTGCGCTCGCAATCATCATTCCACGTACATATTCAAAAATATGTATTAACCACAATAATAATTTAAACATATTAAATCATCATACTAACAATAATATTACCACAAAATAATTTATCTATATCTAATCATCATAATAACACGATATTAATTATTAATTAAAAGCAAGATGGATGCGAGATCTCGCCTCGGGTTTTTGTCGAACGTATCGACGTCGCCGTGCGAGGCTACAGTGGTTTGACGGATCTGAAAGCTGAGGCGGAGTTGGTCACTACTGTGATTTGGCGAAGCACGTGGCGTAGTGCGCTGCTGAAAGTTCATCGAGGCGTCGAGGTGTGGCAACGAGGAGGCGGTGGAATGCTGCTAACGATGACGGCTCGGTGGCAGGATGTCCGCGGCGGAAAGGTCGGTGGCTTAGACGGAGAGTAGGAGGCTGGGGTAGCCGGAGAACAAGGAGGAGGTGAGGGGCTGGCTGAGGTTGGGAGGAGCGGTAGCGTAGGAGAAGGCTGCGCCGTGGTCGGCGCGGTTGAGATGAAGGCGTGAGAGGTGGCTGAGTGTTGGGCTGGGGCTGGTCGGTGGGCGTGGAGCTCGTGAGAGGCGACGGGTCAGGCGGAGCAGCGACGAACTGGGCGGTGCAGGCCAACGAAGGAGCGGGGTTACGGACGTCGGGGATGACGTGGTCGGGGCTGAACGGCGCGGATGAGGAGCGCAAGAAGTGAACTCAGGTGGCGTGGGTTGCTGGAGGGTGTTGGCGGCGACGTTGGGGTCGGAGTTCGGTGGAATAATGCGGTTAGGGATCGTCGGCGGCGACAGGCAGCTTGGTAGCAGTCGAGGCTGCGGGTCGATGCCAGGGATGGTGGAGCTTGAGGGCAGTGTGTCCCATTGATGCTTGAGGGCGGAGAGGGCGGGCCGGCTTGGAAGGCGGAGGTCAGGGGGTTGTGGCGGTGAATTGGACGGAGAAAGAGAGAGTCTTGGGGAATGGGAGAGCAGAGTGAGAGAAAATATAATAAAGAAGAGAGAGAGTGAGTGATGGTGAGTGATTGAGTGAGAGAGAGTGGGACATCAGCTTTTAATGCGAGGATAATAGAGAGAGAGTGTCAGAGAGAGAGATTGAGTGTGAGATTAGAGAGAGAGTAAGAACGGCGGAAGATTTTATTGAGAGAGAGAGTATGTGATAGGGTGGTTGGGAGGATGTGGGTTGAGAGTTGGGGTAAACACGAGGTGGGGATTTGTGTGAATTGGGGAGAGTTTTAGGGGGAGAGAGATACAGAGTGAAATACCGGTGAGAGGAAAAACACAGGGAAAAATACCCCCTTAAATAATTTAAAAATATCATAAAATTTATTCAAAATAAATATTAAAATTTATGGTCAAAATAATAATAATAATAACAATAATGAATAATTAACTATTTATTTAAAAATTTTACCAAAACAATTAAATTTATAATTAGCAATACTATTAAAGTAACATAATACCGTATTTTTAAATCATAGAAAATTCTAGAGAAATTAGGAAAAATACAAATACTCTTTTAGAAAAATAATATTTAATATTTAAATAACAGAAAATTATTTAAACCCGTATTAGAAATTTACGGTCATTACATCCTACCCACCTTAAAACAAATTCCGTCCTCGGAATTAAAATAAGGACGAAATATAAAGACAGATTCATCTCAACTCATATAAAGTTCAAAATATATTGCATATCCATAAATAGAAAAAGTCATACAAGACGTTTCAGAATAAGATACAAGACAAGACAACTAGGATTCAGGAAATAAATGAGGGTATCGCTGTCGCATCTCAGACTCAGTTTCCCAATTCGACTCTCCAGGAGAATCTGGGTGTCACATCACACGAACAAGCGAAACGGTCTTATTCCAAAGGGTCTTCTCCCTTCGGTCTAAAATCGCCACAGGCTGCTTTTCGTATGTCAAATCAGATCGCACCTTAATCTCCGAGAAATCTACGACATGACTCGGATCTCCAACGTATTTTCGCAACTGAGAAATGTGGAATATGTTATGCACTCCAGCCAGGACGGGTGGTAATGCAAGTCGGTATGCCACTTCTCCAACTCTCTCTAATACGTTGAAAGGTCCCACATATCGTGGACTCAACTTTCCACGCCTTCCAAAGCGAATGGTGCCTCGGTTGGGGGAAATCTTTAGGAATACATGATCTCCTGGCTGAAACTCTAAATTCCGGTGCTTCGCATCTGCCCAATGCTTGAATCTGTCCTATGCTATGCGAAGTCGCTCCTGAATGATCCTGACTGCATCAATTGGTCTCTCAATCAACTCTGGCCCAAAAATCTCCCGTTCACCAACATCGTCCCAACTCAAAGGAGAGCGGCACTTCCTGCCATAAAATGCTGCAAAAGGGGCCATTCCAATACTAGCCTGGAAGCTATTGTTGTATGCAAACTCCACCAAATGCATGTGATCTTCCCACGACTCGTGAAAGTCAAGCATACAAGCTCTAAGCATATCCTCCAAAATTTGAATGGTCCTCTCCGACTGCCCATCGGTCTGGGGATGATAAGCTGTGCTGAAATTGAGACTGGTCCTAAGACTCCCCTACAAACTCTTCCTGAACTCTGAGGTAAATTGGGTATCGTGATCCGAAACGATGCACACTGGAACTCTGTGCAATCGCACGATCTCCTGCAATACTAGAGGTTTACTAACACTCTTGGAAAGGAATTCATCGAACATATAGAGATAGATATTTTACCTCCATGTATCTCTGAGCAAGATGCTCTGTCGACTGTCCCACTCGGAAAGGAATGAAGTGAGCCGATTTGGTTAATCAATCTACGATCACCCAAACAGTATCATTCTGTCTAGTGCTCCGAGGTAAGCCAGTAACGAAGTCCATGGTGATATGCTACCACTTCCATTCCGGAATAGGCAATGGCTGCAAAAGACCTGCGATGCGCTAATGCTCTGCCTTCACCTGCTGACATACAAGGCACTGAGCCACACTACGAGCCACATCCCTCTTCATACCACGCCACCAAAAGTTCAGCTTTAGATCCTTATACATCTTCGTACCTCCAGGACGAATAGAATATGGTGAGCTGTGAGCTTCTCGTAATACCTCCTCTCGAACATCTCCTCCTGGTACACATATACGACTCCCAAATCGTAAGGATCCGTCCTCATGAACAACAAATTCCGGTCGAAGACCAGCCACTGCTAGCTCCCTACACTTCTAAAGAAATGGGTCACCTGCTTGTGCTGCCTTGATTCGCTCGATCAGTGTCGATTGAATCTGAAGATTCATCAAGGAAGCGGTGACTCCTGGAAGAAGAAGAACTTCTATACTCATATCCCTCACTTCTTGCTGAAGTTTCCACTGAGCCGTGAGGGTCATGATTGCCAGCAAACGACTCAAAGCATCTGGTACCACATTGACCTTGCTAGGGTGATACTAAAGATCAATGTCGTAATCCGCCATCAGCTCTAACCATCGGCTTTGCCTCATGTTGAGATCCTTCTGAGTAAATATGTACTTTAAGCTCTTATGGTCAGTGAACACCTTCACTTGCTCCCCTAACAGATAATGCCTCCAAAGCTTAAGGGAAAAAATCACAGCTGCCAACTCCAAGTTGTGGGTAGGATAATTCTGCTCATGCTTCTTCAACTGACGAGAAGCATATGCCAACACATGACCATCCTGCTAAAGAACGCATCCCAATCCTCTACCTGATGCGTCGAAAAGCACCTCAAAGTTCCCACTCTTATCTGGTATCGTCAAGACCAGGGCCAAAATCAGTCGAGACTTTAACTCCTCAAACGCCTGCTCACAAGCGTCGGACCAGACAAAATTAATATCCTTCCTCGTAAGTCGTGTCATCGGCTCCGCAATCTTCAAAAAATCTCTAATGAAGCGACGATAGTAAACAGCTAATCCCAGGAAGCTCTTAATGTCTGACACCGACTTAGGGGTAGGCCAATCCTTCACTGTAGATACCTTCTCCGGATCCACTGATATGCCGTCTCCTGACACCACGTGTCCCAGAAACGCTATACGATCTAGCCAGAACTGGCACTTACTATACTTGGCAAATAGCCGATGCTCTCTCAAGGTCTTCAACACGTACCGCAAATGCTCTGCATGTTCAGTCTCACTCTTAGAGTACACCAAGATATCATCAATAAAGACCTCCACAAACTTGTCTAGCACATCATAGAATATCACTCTTAGAGTACACCAAGATATCATCAATAAAGACCTCCACAAACTTGTCTAGCACATCATAGAATATCAGATTCATCCGGTTCATGAATGTCGCTGGTGCATTAGTCACACCTAACAGCATTACTAAGAATTCATAATGTCCATATCTCGTCCGAAACGCAGTCTTGGGGACATCAGAATCCTTAACCTTCACCTGGTGATATCCGCTCCGCAAATCCAGCTTAGAAAATACTCTCGATCCTCCCAATTGGTCGAAGATATCATCGATACGGGGAAGTGGATACTTATTCTTCACTGTTACCGCATTCAACTCCCGGTTGTCGATGCACATCCGCTTGGATCCATCCTTCTTCCCTACAGGCAACACAGGTGCTCCCCAGGCCGATACACTAGGTCGTATCAAGCCTCTCTACAAAAGATCATCCAACTGAGTCTGTAGCTCGGCCAACTCAGCTAGAGGCATACGATAAGGAGTCTTGGAGATCGGAGCAGTTCTAGGCTTCAATTCTATGGAAAACTCAATTGCTCGATCTGGTGGCAACCCGTAAATGTCGTCGAGAAATACATATTCAAATTCCCGAACTACAATTGGCTTCTTGGGTTCCACCTGCATGGCAGCAAACGTCGCCTTCTTCGGTCTAGCTTTGTACTCTATCGGTCCAGCCGATGTACTGCCACTGAGGAATTCAAACCTCGGGTGATCCGGTATCTCGAATACTACGCTCCGACGACGACAATCAATGGTGGCAAAGAACAACCCTAACCAATCCATCCCAAAAACTACATCAAAGCTTGGCAAATCTATCACCAGAAAATCTACGAAGAGTTCCCTCCCACAGATGACCACAGGGCATGCTTCATAACCACTAGATGCTACTAAGACACCACTGCCCATGTTGATATTCCAGCCCGTAGTCAGAGGAGCTATAGGAAGAGAGTGGGCACTCGTAAATCGATGAGACAAGAAACAATGGGAAGCTCCAGAGTCAAAGAGCGATAAAGCAGGAACAGAGGAAACAAGAACCTTGTCTATTATAGGGGGATGAATGCAACTAACTTAGTATTCATAAACAATCCTATCATGATATCATTATGTAATAAGAAAATTCATATGCAATTAAGACTAAGATGAACAGTTTTTACCAGTGATAACTTCATTGTTCGCCTCATCTTCTACGACTAACATCATGAACATCTGTCACTGAGGTTGTTGCCTATGTGTTTCCTGATAAAGCTACTGCTGTGGAGGGAGAGGCCCAGCTCGAGGATAGGATCTGTGCTGAGGCTGTGCAAATGGTGCAGGTCGAGGTGGAGCTGGAAGAGCTGCTCGAACTGGAGTTGGGGGCAAACGTGCCGCTGCAGACAGTTCCAACTAACATGATCGGGGGATCCACAAGCGTAGCACTGAGGAAGACACCTACGACACTCCTGCTGGGTGTGCCCAGTGTAGCCGCAATGAGTACACTTCACCGATGGTTGGCCGCGAGTCTACACTCCAGGACGCTGATAAGGGTGACTCTGAGGGAATGGCTGACGCTAAGAGTGCTGCTGTCTCTGCGGGCCCTGCTACTGCTACCTCGGAGGGGGACGTTCGGCATTTCGGACCGGAGCTGCTGGTGTCCTGCTTTGAATCACGTGTGAGTCTTCAGGCTCCTTATGCACGCTCTTAATCTCCCGTGCTGCATCCAGCACCGCATCATGGGTCGCCAAAGCTCTACCTGCTAGAGCCATCCTAATGTACTTGTCCAGACCCTTTTAAAACTGATGCCGCCTAATCGTAGGGTCTGTAACCAAGTGGGGAGCATATCGGCTCAAAGAAGAAAACTAGGCCTCGTACTCGTCGACTGATCGACCCCCTTGCTTGAGCTCGACAAATCTACACAGGAGCTCATCTCGGGCCGACTGAGGAAAATACTTCCTATTGAAGCGATCCGTGAACGTCTCCCACAGAATTGGCCTCTCTAGGTGTGTCTTCTCAGCAGCCCACCAGATTCTAGATGTATCCGTAAGCTGAACATCCATGAGATCTACCCACTCTGCAGGGGGAATACGAGTCACTGTAAGGATAGTCTCTGTGACCTTGAGGAACTCCTCTGCTGCTAAAGGTCTCTCGGCAGTCCCTCGGCACCAGTAAAGAAAGAAGGCCGCATATATCGAAACTCTCTAACACCAGGCTCCGAGTGAGGTGGATCCTGGTGCTGAGGCTCCTGCTGCAAATATGAGAGGTGGCTGAGCGTTGGGCTGGGGCTGGTCGGCGGGGGTGGAGCTCGTGAGAGGCGGCGGCTCAGGTGGAGCAGTGCTGCCGAACTGGGTGGTGCAGGCAGCGGAGGAGCGACGGTTGCGGGCGATCGGGGATGACGTGGTCGGGGCTGAATGGCGGGATGAGGAGCGGAGAAGCGAACTCAGGCGGCGTGGTTGCTGGAGGGTGTTGGCGGCGACGTTGGGGTCGGAGTTCGGTGGAACAGCACGGCTGGGGATCGTCGGCGGCGACCAAGGCTTTGGAGAGGTCGGAGGCTGCGGGTCGAGCTCAGGGGATGGTGGAGCTTGGAGGAGGCAGCGATGTCAGCTTGAGCTCGAGGGCGGAGAGGAGCGATGGCTTGGAGCGGAGGTCAGGCGGGTTGTGGCGGTGAAGTTGGACGGAGAAGAGAGAGAGGGAGAGGAGCTGAGAGGTTGGGTTCGGAGTGAGGAGTTTGGAGGGAGAGATGGAGAGAGAACTGAGAGAGATTAAGAGGAGAGAGAGAGAGAGAGAGAAGAGAGAGAGAGAGAGAGAGAGAGAGGAGAGAGAGAGAGACGTGAGCTTGGTGGGTGAGGATTTTAGAGATGAAGGGGTTAGGTGGGTTGGTTAGTGAAGATATGAGGATATCAAGGGGTTGGTTAAACATTATATCACCAAACAACTTTTAGGATCCGTGAGAGGATTACGGAAAGATGGAGTTGGGCTTTCTTGATTTCAAAACACTCATGGGCCTTACATAGATTTGTTTATTATTATTATTTTAATTCAAAAATTGATGGGCCTCCGATATAATTGATTAGTATAAAAAAATTTTATTATTACAGAGGGTGAGGGGTTTGAATGTGAATTTTTTTTGTAAAAAACTCCATTTGAAGAGGATGGTTACTCTTAATTGAGAAGACTTTTTAAAATTATATTTTAATAGGTTATGATTTTCTTAAGTGATTTAATAGTATATGCTTAGTAAATCTAAAGTAAAATATGATAAAAAGAGAGCATACATAAATCCTAAATTAAATTAACTAGTGGATTCAATTCTAGATTCCTATCTTCTCTACTTAATTTCCTCAATCTTATACTTATTTTGATTTTTTCTCTTTTTGATTATTTTCTCTCTTCTTGATTTTGTTCTTGTCTATGTTCTTTATTTCTCCTCCTTTTTTATTATTAGTTTCTTTTTATTTATTCACTCTCTCTCCCCTCGTGTTCTAGTTTTCTTTTTATTTGCATATAATCACACACTCTTATATCTCTACCCTTTCACTCCCCTTTGTCCATACACATTTTTAGGATCCAATTTAGAATTTTTTCCCTGTGGGATTGATATTGTATCTATACTATAACTTAATTGTGCACTTATAATATTAACACTATGTTCACAACATATATCACTGAACATGCCTGAAGAATCGTATTTTGATTGTGAAGCTTCAGGAGTTGTCACATACCCAAGCCTTCTCTTTGACTTGTCATAGTAGTCTTTGATTCTTCCTTTTGGATAAAAAGTTTCACACAGGATGCAAGGCCTTTATTAAAATTGAGCCCTTGATAGGCATCAAGGTCATAACTCCAGTGCTGCATTATCCCTTGAGCTTTGGTGCTATAGTGGTGGAACTGCTGGACTTCCACATCGGACTTTTGGTCGGAGGTCTGATCAAATGTCGGATCGGCCTTCCCAAAGTATAAACTTCGTGCAATGCACTACAATGTACTAGTGCTCTAAAAAAGTACAATCTTGGTATAGGTAAATATATTTCTTTTACACTAGTAGTAATCAAGCTTTTGCAACATCAAAGTCCAGTTAACTATCTAACTTATGTCTATCTAAGTTATGTGTATTGAGCATTTAGGCATTAATCATTGCTTCTCGTTGTCAGAAAAACGATGGATGGAAAATTCGAGCATGGTTATTCTGTGTGTGTCAAGGTCAGGACCCGGATCCTTCACGGGGGTGCTCTATCATGCTCACCCTCTCAATGCAACTCACAACTTTTCTTTGCTGAGGAGCATGCAAAGCCAGAGTTTAGTATACTCACAAGGAAAGGGAGTATAGCAAGATGAGGAAAGAAGGGTAAACATTTTGGAACAATATGAAATGCATCAATGTAGTGTTTTGCTTAAACTGCTTTTGCTTAATTTGTTATTCTTTTATGCAGGTATATGATGACTATGGGAAGAGAGACAAGGAGAGGTATAGGAGAGAGTTGCAAGAGTAAGAGGAAAGAATGGGGTTTGTGCAACCTAGGGAGAGTTTTGCTGGTTCTTAAGTGACAAAGAAGACTGTCGAGTTTAAAGAGGAAGATAGGTAGAGGATTCAACACTGAAGGATGGATTTTAATGAAGTTTTCTTGTGTTAATTAGACCTTCAAAGTTTTGTACTATCGAATTCTAAGTAATCCGAAGCTGGAGCAATCAGTTTCCAGGTTCAGGCCTAAAGAGTATCAATGAATTGCTTTAGTCTTTAGAGACCAGCATCAGTTAATTATTGCCAACACGGGAAAGAAAGGAATAAATCTTGATTCATGCAATAGCAGTTGTAGTTCTTCTAGCATGTTGAGTTATCAAAGATATGTAATTACTTCAAAAAGTGTTCGTTGTAACCTGCCAATAGTAAAACTTTTGGTTCGTGTATATCTTTTCAATAAAATTGATAGGCTGGATAAGGATGTCTTTGTGGAAACTTGTTGGCTATTGACATCTTTCACTGCATTTCCATCAAGATTGTGCCAGCAATTGATCAAATTCAGCTTAGCTTTCAGAGTATAATGTCTATAACTATTATACGAGTTTGAGAGTTTCTCAAAAGACCAAATTTTTGAGTATTTCCCAGATAGATTTCGTTCGAAAGAGAAGTATCAATTCGATAACAAGTATGACACGCAATGAGTGTGTAATGAGAATGTTGAGTTGGGATTGAATAGAAATAAACTGAGATAAGAAGAAAAAGTTTGGAAGCATATAAGAGGTAGATCATAGAGAACTAGAAATAGATTAGAGAATCAGGATGAGACAAATTATAAGGGCACGACAGCTGTAAATTTAGTACATGAATCTAGGTAGTATTTAATAGAAAAACGGCATTGATATAGTTGGCTAGGGTTCTGAATTTTTACCAATAATGTAGGATGATTGCCATGTTACTTATTTTGTCTCTTGTTAAGAATGTTAAGAATAAAACTTTAGGGAAGAGAAAAGACTTATTTTATTCAGTGTATTGAACTGCTTAAATATAAGAGTAAAATGAGAGGTTCTAGAATCCTAATCAATGTGGGACTAAAACAAAGGAAAACAGATATCCTAATACTACTATATCTAACACGGCCTGTCAAACTCATGGTTAATAGAGAACTATGAGTTTGGATAAGATGAATAAAATTTTGCATAGATGGTTGTTGGCATGACCTAGCGAGAAGCAGTTGAATTAGAGCACATCGGTAACTGGAATTGTAGGCGGCGAGATCATATTATTGCAGTGGTGATAGGCAGTCATGCACTGTGGTTGTGAGTGGGCTGACCTACAGTCGTGGGAGAAGGTGCAGTGACTGGATCTTGCAAGTGGTGAGGTATGATGTTGCAATAGTGATCAGCGGTCATGCAGGGTGGTTGCAAGAGGGCGGACCTGTGGTCGCGAGATGAGGCACGGTGACCAGATCTTGCGAGCATCAGTGCGTGGAAAGTGTTTGACTGGAGAGAGCTTGGCCAGAGGCTGGCCAAAGAGAGAGAAATCTCGCTAAGGCAATTCGTTGAACACCTTGTGTGCATGCGAAGAATAGTTTGTATAATTACATCAATCGGAGTGATGGTAGTGTTGGCAGTTAGAGGTTTGCAGTGAAGGAACTGCTAGGGTTTTGCAAGGCGAGAGTTTGCAACGGTAGGGTTTGGACGAGAGTTGAAGCCGCAAGGACAACGATGACCAGCGACTCCAACCTGATCAGATCTGATCGACGATGACAAGGGCTATCCTTAGCAGCAGTGGCAGCCAAGAAGAGGTTGTTGTCGAAGTTGGTATCGAAGTAGCAAGGTTCAAGATGAACATTAACTCAAATAGGACAGTAGTCTGCGGGTGAACAGTACCTCGGATGAATAGTATCATTCGGCAAAGGTAGGGCTAGGATTTTGCAGTGAGCAGAGAACGGTGAGAGGTTATAAGTGATGCGGCGGTGCATCAAAGTTGAATCGGGTGTCAAGGCTGCCGAGGGGAAGCGTGGAGTTTTTGGCAAAACCCCCTCGGCGGCTCTATGTAGAGGAAGAAGAAAGAGGTCTCTTTGGAATCAAGGGGATGCCTCTGATACCATATTAAGAGCAGAGCTTTAGCGAAGAGAATAGACTTATCTTATTCATTATATTAAACTGTTTAAATACAAGAGTAAGAGGAGAGGTTCTAGAATCCTAATTAATGTGGGACTAAAACAAAGAAAAAAAGATATTGTAATACTACTATATCCAACAAAGAATGCATCATTTTACAATAGCAATATTGATGTACTAACTTTAGTGATATCCATCTTGTTGTGATTGAGTCTGTCTAGAGATATATGAAGTGTGCATATAGAATCTTAATTTTTCTATCTTATTGTGGTTAGATTACACATGAATTAGTAATATTCTATAAAATGTCTTGTTCAAAAATTTTAAATCTATTTCATAGTTATTTCCACTTTCAAGTGGATTTGCACACAAATGCAGAGCGCAAGGAACGATACAAAGTGGTAAGACCATTAGAATATGAAAATTATTAATCACCACAACTTCAGAGTTTTCGTTAGGATCTTTAACAACAATCACCCAGTTTTACTTCTATCATTTCACATGAAAATTTTCTCTATGAATGACTACTTATTTTATTTAGGAGAAGAATATGCCTATGCATCTCATTTTTCAGTTTACATTTTGTCATTTTGTTCCAATAGAAGGTAAGAAAGAAGAAATCTGTTATCTTTATAAATAAAATTATATAGAATAATTATTAGCATAAGATTTAGAAAATGATTTTTTTTGTTTGAATCGAAAATTTGAGGAAAAAATATTGGATAATTTTTAATGAAAGCATAGATGAGATATTTATAAATAAGAAAGTTTCAAAGAATTTCATTTATTCAGTGAAATTTGAGAAAGAAGAGATATTGAGTAGTTTAATGGAAAGGGATAAATTTATTTTGTCCAAATTTCTATGGTCTTAGTTTTGGAGGGTAATATTTCTTTGATGTCCTCATTGTTTCTATCACCTTGATTTTTATGTTCTTTTGCTAAACTAGATTCATAATTGAGCATTATAGCTGCATTAGTAAATGAAGAGAATAGTGGGAGAGCTCGCCTGATGAGATCTCGGAGCTCGCCTGATGGCTGTCGAAGGTGGGAGCCAGCTGGATCAAGCTGGATCGCAGATCGCCCTAGGGTTTCTCTATAAAAGGGAAACCTCATTCACGAGAGTGGTGTGGAGCTCTCACTCTCTCTCGCAATTTTAACAGAGAGGATTTTTCTCTCTGTGGCGGCGGCTCTTCTTAGGGATTTTGAGGAGCAATTTTCAGTCAAGAAAATTGAGATTGATTTTTGCTTTAGTTGAATAAATCACAAGCAATACTGTAGAGAGATCTCAAGTTTGAGATCTTCTCTTAGCAAGTTTTGTAATTTCTTGTGGTTAAATAAGAAATTAATTGTGCGGCTCCCATTGACGTAGGCAAGCTTGTCGAACCACGTAAATTCGTTGTCTTGTCTTATTTACTTATTATTTTATCTGTGTATTCACTATTGTTTGTATTGGTTGGTTTGAGTTTGGCGTAAACTTAAGCTAGGGTTGTTTTCTCTCAGGATTGATTTAGCTTCCGCGGCAGTATAGGTGTTCCCTCGCTCCCATCAATTGGTATTAGAGCCCCTTATTCAGATTGGTGGTGGTAAAAATTCTGATCTGAGCTGGTGTTTGATTATTGTGTGGTGCACACAAGGTATTTATTGAAATTTTCTGAGAGAAGCGGATTTATTAATACAAGCGAAGAATGACATCTACAAGTAAAATAGTTAAAGTTAAAAAGTATGAGATCAAAAAGTTCAATGGGAAGAATGATTTTTCCTATTGGAGGATGCAGATGAAAAATTCTCTGATTTTACAGAAATTGTACAAGGCTTTGGCAGGAAGAGAAAAGAAGCACAAAGATATGTCAGATGAGGATTAGGAAGAGTTAGATCTCGAAGCACGAGCATCGATTATCCTATGCTTTGAGAGGGACATTACTTTCTTAGTGGATGGAGAGGAAACGGCTGCGGGCGTGTGGTCAAAGTTAGGGAATACCTTCAAGACGAAGAGTCTAATAAATCGGATCTACTTGAAATCCAAATTGTATACTTGCAAGATGGAGGAAGGCTCGTCAATCTGTGAATACATCAACAAGTTCGATAGGATCATATCAGATTTGAAAGACATTGATGTGATAGTAGAAGATGAGGATCAAGCACTTCTGCTACTTCTTTCTTTACCAAAGTCTTATGAGAACTTGGTACAAACATTAATGCTTGTAGGTGACAATTTAAAGATAGATAAGATTAGAACGGCACTTCTGGCAGATGATCTTTGAAAAATTACAACTAGTGACATGTCTACTAGTGGTTGTTAGACCCTAGAGGGGGTGATTAGGGTCTTATGCTAATATAATCCGATTGAAATGCTAATTAAAACTTATTAAGAAGTTATCCTAGCAAGTGTGAAATACAATAATATATATGAGCTAGGATAAGCAATATGAACAACAAGATATATCCTAATAATGAGATATAGGCAATGTATGTGCAAGGATATATAAACAACACAAGGGTAAATAACCTAAACAAGATAGTGGATGATATAGTAATGAACAATGCACAATGGCGATATAAGATATGAACATAAATATAAATGAACGCCAAAGCACACTCAAACACAATCAAATGATCACGGAGTTCGGACCTTCCGTCCTACGTCTCCGCTCCCCACTCCCGGGGAGAAATCCACTATCACAACCGGGTTTTCTACGCTCACCCGAATAACGTTTACAATCACACTATGTCGGTTTTCAACGATCACCGATCAACGTCCACTCCTCACACTCGGTTTTCTAGTTCACCGAAAACTTCACAACACACTCGGTTTTCTAGCTCACCGAAAACCTTACAACATTCACAATGTAACAAATATAAATTTGTTCTCTACAATAGATGAGGACACAATTAAGCACAACTCAATGTTACAATCTATCACAACCCTAATATACTATGTATGCAAATACAATAAGCTCAAAGTGGGTGTGTGTAACAATGAGTGAAATCAAAATCAAACTAAACTCAAATATAAAATCTAGCTTAAGAACAATGATAATCAAACAAGTATATAAATGTAAAGCTAGAGTTTGAGTTTAGAAAACTTCTCTAGATCAAGATGGAGAGATGGAGA